CCCCCCCCCCCCCGAGGAATCGATGCTTGGGCTGAGTGCTGAAGTAGGAGTTGAGTGGTTCCAGGCAAAAGGAGCAGAGCATAAACAAATGCTCTCATAGGCAAAGCAAGAGCTGAAACAAGCTAGGTGAAGCTGGAAGGCACAGATAATCATGACACTTAAGAGTGTAACCGCAGAGCTGAGAAGAGCTTCAGGGATCACAGTGTAATCAACCCCCTCAGTTTATAGGTTTTATAGACAAGACCAGAATATCGTCTCCAACTCCATACTAAGTACTTTCTTTCTTCAGACATTGCCCAGCTCCTGGAGGAAAAGTTCCGTGTTCTGAATAACGCAAGGCAGCAAATAATTTAAGAACATTTACCATTTGGCTCTGAAGGCGTGGAGTAAGTTTCCACACTGCCACAGCCAGTTTACTATCCCAGTGTATGTAGCCTCACGTCACTATAAAGACAAGCCTGTGTTACCCCGGACACCTCAACCAGTAGCCAGGGAAGGCACACCCAAGGAAAACTATGGGCTTAGTTCTGTGCTTTTCCTCTCTCTAGCACTGGTAGATTTTATGAGATGCAACTTCAGCATTTAGAGCAGGATAACAATAGCATTGTAGTTTTGAATATTTAACAGGCAACAAGAATTTCATCACCTCCCATTGTTATAAGGTTTGCTAGCCCAGCACATGACCTTTCATTTGCATAAAAGATATTCATGAAAACTCTGATACCTGGGGACTATCTCTGCATAATTCAGCTTCTTATAAATATACACTTTGATGACTATCTGTTACAGCCTCTTGGACTGAATTCTTTAAAGAGAGAGAGAAGTTGCATTATATTCTCTGGGTTGTCACACTGTATTCTACATATGTTACTGAATAAGGAAGTGTTATAAAATAATGAAGTGTTTTTGTAAACTCCCTGGTAAACATCATCATGAATTATGATACACATTGTCTGGATTTCATATTGTAAGACTGCCACTTGATTCACAGTTAGGTTTATACATCTTGTCATGGAAACAGTTTTGGATTTCTTATTTTCAGTTCTGATTTTCCTTATGCAAGTTTGCATCTTTTTTTTTTTTTTTTTTTTTTTTTTTTTTTTTTTTTTCTTTGATGCATCCTTCTTTTTCTTTCTTTTGTTTGTGCATGTATGTGTGGTCTTGATTCTCCCATGGCTGGCCACACTCTCTGCATGCCCCATGCGACCACCCCTTCTCCAAAGTCAACAAATGCATGTGTACCTTAGTGAGCTGACACCAAATACAGACCCTGAAGGGAGCAAAACTCCCTCCCCATCTGAACCAGAGGCTAAAAAAGATACCAGAAAGGAATCCAAAAAAAGAAAAAATCCCAAAACCCAGGCAAATCCAGAGCCCAAAAGGTAAGAAGTTATGTGTGTATTGGCTTGTGTTTTGCGATGTCTGTGACCTTCTCTACCCCCCGCCACCTATGCCGCAACCTCCACCTTAGCAAACCCCAAGCTTTGTGTATTCCTGAAGTCTCTGCTCAAACGTGCACTTTTTAAAAAAATCCTAGCAATGGACAAAAATACCGTGTATTAGGAATGAATTTGAGTCAGGTATTTAGGGACACTTAAGACATGTTTGCATTGGAAACAAAACAGCTAATTGAGCAGTATGTAAACAGAATCATGAGTCGGATTGCTTTTTTTAGTGGCATCTAGTTAGGGGCCTGGTACCTTACCAAGTCATTCATAATAAGCAACCCATGTTTAATCATTTTGAAATTATGGTTAAGAAGGAAATAAAATGGGTTGGCATAAGATGGGTTTATACATTTATAGTAGGTCCATCATTTTTAGCAAACCCTCTCAGTTCTACGTTTATCTCATGAAAGAAATCCATCTTCACATAATGGTTTATAATAAAGGCACAAAGTAGTGTCTGTCACTTAATTAGTGACTCTTAGTAGAATCGTTTATATGATGAGGTCACTTTGAAAGCACTTTTAAGTTCTAAAATTTATACTGATGCTGTCTTGTTTCCTGTGTCCTTTAGGGATACTCTCTTTGTGAATTGGTAAAATGGCAAATTCGTGGCTTTTATTCCCTTTTAAAATAGATGTACAGTTATCTCCAGTGTTTATCCTATGTGCTTCTTTACCTCCCCATCTCGCCCCAAATCAACATTTTGACATTTTAAAGTTTCGTTGTTGAGGTTTTGAAACGGATATTCTGACCCTGGCATTGCCAAACTACACAAAGTTCACAAGGAGGTACGCTGTATGTTTCAGCATGAATTTATTCACTTGGATATTTCTAAGTCCTAAAATATATACGGTTCACTGGTAGGCAGACCAAATGAAAATGCCGATTTCCACTTCCTAGAGAATGTAGCAGGCTGTCAATCAATGTATGCAGGTCCAATAGGAATGCCCCGATCCCACGTGGACACCCATCTTCTGAACTTGCAGTATACGAGGACGAAGGTGGAGTGGAGTTTTGTGTCCCCCTGTGAGGGTCAGACTGCAAGGTAGGAAAGTAGCTTGCAGCCAGTAAAAAAGTGCATAGAGCGTTGTAGGTGCCCGAAGGAAGCCTCTCTGGCTGCTGTCCGAGGTGCTGCTTTTGGCGTGCTCAGCACTGAAGCAGAGCAGAGAGTAAATGGCCACCCTTGTTGGAGCCTGACCTATTCCCTGTGCCGTGAAAAACTACCGAAAAGGATTGTGAGTGGCACGTTGAGGGTCTCTGTTTGCTCTGCATTTTTAAAGGAAGAAGAAATCGTAATATTAAATATCAGTTCTGTGGAATTCTACAGTTTCCAAAGTGCTTTCATACATTCTATCTCATTTGCTATAACGTGTTCAGGTTGGCTACTTTGACACCCATTTTGCAGATGATGAAATTGAATTCTGTAAATTGAGGTGGCAAACCCAGATATTCTGAGTCCAGAGCTCTTTCTCTTTGTACTACATCAGCACTGCACATAGATTCTAAAGATCTGAGTATTAGAGGCTGTTCTGCCTAAATCTAGGATTATCATATCTCACTTCTATACCTCAGTTTTCTCATCTGCAAAATGAGCACATAGAGCATCTGTAATATCCCATCAACCTCTAAAATTATCTTCTGTGGGTTATAATAACAAGTAAAATAGTCCACTGTTAGATTTCGTAAGTAACACTGAAATAAAATAAGGATAATTGCCACCATTTAATGTGTTTGCTATATGCCAAGCACTGTGTGAAGTGCTATTTACATATATTATCTCATTTTATACCTACTGCATCACTGTGAGATCTGTATTATTATTATCCTCACCTAACAGATGAGGAATTTGAGGCTCAGATATATTCAGTCGCTTGCTTCATAGCAAATACCTGTGTGGGCCTAATTCAAACATGGATATTCTGACTTTGGAGCTTGGATTTGTAACCTCTCTGCCTTACTACCTGCCCAGCATTAGCATTTGTGTATAGTGTGAGATGCAGATTCAGCCATTTGATATGATTTCAGCATTTCCAGGTGAGATCCTCTAGCAGCCATCTGAATTAGTTAAATACTTTTCCATTTTTGTCCTAAAGGTGTCCAAAATCAGTTTGGCCCACCTGGTAATTTTGACCTTGTGGAAAAAGTCAGAGTGTATCTGGAGCTTTAGACCACCTAAAAGGAGAGTCTCCTTTGAACACCAATTAACAGCCTTTTGGTACTGGGGGAAAAAAAAAACATTTTCCTACCTCTTTCACCAGGATGAACACTGTTTGTATGTGGAGAGGTTATCTATTCTTTGACCCACAATAAGAAGGAACTCATGACTCATGGAAACAAATTGCCCTTTAACTGAATTTAACTGAACGATAGAGTTCATTCCTATTGCCATCTCACAACCAACTTTAGATTAGGTAAAAAGTAGCTTTTTACCTAATTTTCAATTTTTTACCTATTAATAACTCATCAGCCCCCTAGGTGAAGGCAGAGTCCGGCCCTACTGCAACTGGACATCATTAGTGATTGCTCAGGTGCTGGTGACTGAGTTTATCCCACCTTCTTTGAAAACCTGTGCCCTGTCTCTGTGAAACACTAGACCTACTTGAATCCAAAATATTTAATCCGAAGTAGACATATCTGGTCAATCAGGAAGGTGTTTGCTGTTCATAATTCCAAGCAGTGGAAGATATGGAACCATCACATGTTTGGAATCTTTTAGCATAGTGGTTCTTGACTAGGGGTGATCTCTTCCCCTGGGGACACTTGGCAA